GGGACAAGCGGCGAGCAGGGCACCTGTCCAGGGCGGTACCCACCAGCTGCCTCTCCGGGAAGCCCATCAGGCACATCCGGTCCCAGCCTCCCGCCCAGCGCCTGACTTTGGTTAAGGACGGAGGATGCAACGAGACTCGGTAAGTGAGATAAATACCATTTCAATGTAACACTTTAAAAATTCACCCTGGCAAACCCCGGCCCCCAGGCCGAGCGTCCGTTTTTTAAAAGTTGCACTGGCACCAACTGCTCGGGCTCAAACCCTGGTTCCGACCCTCCTGGTGTGTCTTGTGCAAATTCTCCGGCTGTTCTCAGCCTCAGTTTCCTCATCTGTAAAATGGAGAGAAGAGCCATGCCTTGGTCATCGGTTCCTCGCTGCGATGACCAGCAACAAGGCATGTGCAAGACCGGCACTCGGGACGCTAGGTCACAGCCACGATCACTGTGGTTCCGAGTTATCCGAGTTGGTTTTTGAGTAGAAACCCTCCGTCAGGAAGCAGACGGGCCCAGGCGGCAGGGGGCCCTCACGCGGCCGGTGCCGATCCGTGGCGCCAAGTGTGCCAGGCCTGTTCTAGGAGCGTCCCGCCTCACGCCTCCCTTAGCCTCACAGCCACGCCTGGATTTGTTAGCCAGGAACTATCGCCCCCGTTTTCCAGTTGAGGAAACCGAGGCACACAGCAGTCGTGTCGCCAGCAGAGATCACACCCCCAGTCAGCGGAGCAGCCTGGATTCCCAGGCTGACAGCGTCTGGGTCCCGCACCCAGGGCGTTAAACATGCCCTCGCGTGCGGCCCGGACACACGGACAGCACAGTCCTTGCTCGGGGTCACGCTCTGAACTCTCCACACGGAGAGTGGCTCACACACACCTCGAGCCGTGGAGGTGCCTGCAGCCACGCGCACTGCGGTCGCACGCTACCACCGCCACTCACCCTGAGGCCACCGTCACGCGGCGACCCTGTCACGGGCACCGCTCTCCAGTCTCTGTCACGGACCGGGCTCCGGGCATGCCAGGACTGGGCGGGCCCGTGCCCAGAATCTCTCCCTTGGCATGTTTTCAGCGATACAGCCCCTCACGCCACGGCTGCCGGTAGGAGGAGCCCCAGTGTCCTCGATGGCCAGGTGGACACCTGAGGCCAGAACAGAAAGGGAGCCGCCGAAACAGTGCGGCCGCGCTGGGGGCATCCTGC